TCGAAGTTTCAAAAGTCGAAATTAGTCACTTAAACCAAATTCCACATGAAATGGTAAAAACCTTATTACCACAATAACTGTAGTTTGCCACCTTCTTTCCTTAAAAAAGATGCCCCTGAAGATTGTTTTGATCGGACAATATTCTACAATGAGTGGTGGAAAAAATAACATCATCTGTATAATTCCTATAGCTCTTCAAATGTAACTTTTGTCACTATCAGCAGCCACTTTACAACCTCCATTAATGTTCCACCAAAATTCCGTTTTAGCGAAGAAAATAATTGGGCTTCAGAACCTTCTATGCGTTCTTGTTAAGGATAATCGCAGGGAAAACACTGTACAGTCTAAGTTTCTCAATAGCCATGCTAGATCACGAGATAGCATTTCACAAATGACGCAAACATTGCTGAAGGTACTTTGACCTACATGTGTGTGGATTTGGAGGGGCGACTACGAAACCTGAAGGCCTCCATAAAGCAAACCTGAGGAGAGCTCGCTATTAGTCTACGCTCCAGAAAATGAACCACTTTTGGTGTGCTGAAGCCACTTGTTCAAAGAAGGTGTACCTTAGCTTCGCAAAGCAACTTGCTATTATACCAGGGACAGGATTGTTCTAATGGCCTTTATTTAAGTTGGAGAAGTGATCTGCAATATTTGCAAATTGTGGTCCTTAAATTTAAAAAAACAGTTCGGTTAAACTTATACTGAACGTAAAAAGGGTAATAGCGACTTCACCGAAAAGTCGGACATTTATGTTTAATTACAGCATCATTTATTCAACCACTTAAGTCCAAGTACTTCGCGTGACCGTTTGGTCAAATTGGACATGCGTTTCCATGAAAATTTTGGAACTGATTTCTTTATAATGGTCGAAATCCGAATGCGATAGTCAGAAAAATCATTCATCACGGATAGTGTTTAGTAACCTTAATATACAATTTACCACAAGAGTGAGCCCCATTGGTTCCACCACTGCAGCAATGCATTCATAGAATTTCACAGATATACTAACTAGCGTCCACTCAGATAAAGTAGAAAATCTGTCCATGCATAGATCAAAACTTAATAAAATGAAGTGAATGGGGTTGTTGGTTAAGTGAACCTGCATACTTGAATTGCAGTGCGACACACCATGTTACGAGGTACTGAGCAAGTAGCTGATGCCAACTAATGAGTCTCTGGTTAATCTTTTATCCGCTATGAAAAATCTGTGAAATTTGCCTCTGACAAAGGCAAAACACTCACGTTTCACAAGCAGAAAGTGCCGTAGTTCTTCATGGTCGGTGAATTCTCGAGAGGTAGGTATTGTTGGACCAAAGAAGGGCACCGATTCTTCAGAGAAGACCGATAGTCTAAAACGTTTCGCTTTCATGGTGACTTAAGCATAATACTGAAATTTGCATTGTGCCATATGGGAGGTAATTGGTGCCGTCAGCAATCAATCAAAAAAACGTAAAGACATTTACGTCGTCACCCCCTATCAATCAAAACATTAACGAAATTAAAGTCTTGTAATTGTGTTATCACCCCTAAAATGAACTGCTCATTTTGCCCTTGCGGGCTAGCATGAGAAATAACGCATATAAAATTTCGCCACTTTTCATGAAAATAAACTTCATAAAGCCAGTCAGTACTAACTTATTCTCAAGACAAGGCAAAAGCGTTTTCATAGTAATGAAATAACCGAAGGTTATTCGTTTGGAATGGGTCCAGTATGTGCGAAGCAACCCCATCAACCGAAAATATCCGACTAACGTACACTTTCTAAAAGATAACGTCTAATGGCTCGTAACCGACCTTTTATAAATGTGCTTTAACTATTAACTACAATACGAGAATTTCTGAAAGTAATAGCAAAAGAAGATATGAAATTTCCACGCTACATACCTGTATGCATTCGTGAGTTTATTGTACGTAATGACAGCAAAAATATCTTGAATGCGTGTTAGTTAAGGGTAAAACGGTCATCCCAATGTGGGAGAATGAAGTTGATGCAAACAATTTGGATTCATTTTGTGAAAAGTTGGACCTTGTAGTACCAATTATAATGGAATGGGTAGCTTTACCACTGATAGCAGAGAAAATTACATGCTTGCAGGATCGACACACTGTAAATCCTACGGGATCATTCAAACACTTGCAGCAATATTTTGACGAGAAATCGACATTGAGTCGTACCTGGTGTAAATAAAATTGCGATTAAATCCCAGTACTC